GGGACTCACGTGAACTGCCTCAGGTCACAGCTGCCTGAGATAGTTCAGAAAGGCCAGGGAGTTCTGTCTCACAGGCTCCCTTCTGGGACCAGTGACCCACAAGTTCAGGGCCAGCCAACTATCTGAATGGCAGAGGGTGACAGAGAAACCCAACTGAGCAGGCCACTGTGTAAAATGGGATCAACTTGAAGATCCCTGTGTGGACTCATGAGAAATGTGGGATATAGTTTTGGATTGCAAGATCAGAGAACCTGCCCTTTGGCCGGCCCAAGGCAGAGATTCAGTCCTGGAAGGTAAGCCACCAGGTATTTCTCACCCAGTGAGAACACTCCTTCCCACCAGATGCCCAACCTTTTGACACTGCAAAAAGTTCAACGACCATACAAACGAGTTTTTAAAAAAAAAAAAAAATCATGGTTTTTTTTTTTTGAAGCAATTTATTAAGAAAAGGAACATGGTGGTGCTGGATGACTTAAACGGTTAAAAGCACTTACTGCTCTTCTAGAGGACCAGAATTCAGATCCTAGCATCCACATCAGGTGGCTCACAACTGCCTATAACACTCCAGGGGATCTGATGCCCTCTTCCGGCCCCGTGGGCACCAGCATACATGCAGTATACATGCACACGCACATAAAAATTAACATTTGCTAGGAGTGGCGATGCACACCTTTAATCCGTGCCCAAGAGGCAGAGGCAGGTGGATCTCTGAATTCAAGGCCAATCTAGTCTACAGAGCGAGTTCCAGGACAGCCAGAGCTACACAGAGAAACCCTGTCACAAACGCAAAACAAAAAACAAAACTCCAAAAAAAATTAAATTAGGGTTTTTCATTTTTTATTTTAAACAATACTTTATTGATTCTTTGGAAATATCACATCAAGCACCTACTCACTTCCTAGTCCCTCCACATCTGCCCATCACCTCTGCAGCAGGCATTCCGCCCCCCCAAATTAATTAAAAATAAGATACACAAAAAACCCACCTCGCTCCTCCATCTTCCAACACCTCGTCGGGAGCTCTGGTGTGTCATGAAGTAAATTAGGTTTAAGAAAAGCTGATGGTGCGGGGCGGTGGTGGTGCACGCCTTTAATCCCAGCACTTGGGAGGCAGAGGCAGGCAGATCTCTGTGAGTTTGAGGCCAGCCTGGTCTACAGAGAGAGTTCCAGGACAGGCTCCAAAGCCACAGAGAAAACCTGTCTCAGGGAAAAACAAAACAAATCAAAATGCTCATGTTTTTGTTTTTCCACTTATTATTTACTATGCGCGTGATGCATGAATTTGGAGGTCGAGACAGCTTTCAGAGTCCATCTCTCAGGACGCAGTGGGTCCCATGGCCTGAATTCCGGTCATTCGGCTTAGAAAGACGCACCTTTATCCACTGAGCCACAGCATTTGCTTCTTTAATATTTTAGTTACTTACAATTCTGGAGGTTTTGTTGTTTTCTATTTGTTTTTTTTTTGAGACAGGGTCTTCATTATGTAGCTCCGACTGTCCTGGAGATCTGCCTGCCTCTGCCTCCCAAGATCTGAAAAGATGTGCAATACCACACTAAATTCACAGTTCTGTGTCAGGCTGCGTTCATGGCTCTCCTGAGGCACATGTTTCCCGTGGGCTGCAGGTTCGAGCCACCTGCTTCTGCTGGAGAAGAAACGTCTTGAACTGCCTGCTACAAATATACCACGTGCATTCTGTTTAGCCTCTCAGCAGTCTGGCCCGCTGCCGAGGACACACTGGGTGAAGGTGAACAGAAGGTTCTGTGACTCTCCCCGAAGTCACAGAGGTAGACTTCACTGGGAGTGTTTCTAGGAGATGAGCCACAGGCTGCCTAGAAATGCCGGCCTCCTCCCTCCCCTCCACCTGTCCTGGAGAGATGCTGACGATCTGAAACACACCTGCCTGCTCGTTAAATACACAAGAGATACACATCTCCGCTGATGAAGCAAGCTCCGAGTTTCATGCTTCTAGGCCTGCACAAATATTGAGAAAAACAAGTTTATCTGCATGGTGGTTAAAGCACGAGAGTCAGGAAGGGATTAAAAAAAAAATAATAGGAGCTGGTATGTGACTCAGTGGTCCAGCACTGTGTGGGATTCCCTGGGCTCTATTCTTGTTTGGTTGGTTTGGTTTTTTTTTTTTTTTTTTGTGACAGGGTTTCTCTGTGGCTTTGGAGCCTGTCCTGGAACTAGCTCTTGTAGTTCAGGCTGGACTCTAACCCTCAGAGATCCATCTGCCTCTACCACCCAAGTGCTGGGATTAAAGGTGTGCGCCACCACCACCTGGCCCCAGGCTCCATTCTTAGCACTAAATAAATAAATACATAAAAATAACTCTACCTAAAAATTTGACTAAGTAATACACAAGTCCCCCCATTTAAAATCAGAGCAAAGGGCAGGCAATAGAGCTCAGCGGATAAAGGTGCTCGTCACACGTGCCCTGAAAATCTGAATTCAATTACAGACTGCATGTCAAAGTGGAAGGAGAAAACCCACTCCGCAAAGCTGTCCTCAGCCTTCTACATGTGCACTGTGTCATGTGATGCACACTCACACACAATAAACAAATGCCAAAGAGGTCCAAGGGTCTCCTGCAATGCCCAGTATGGTTGGAACTGAAACACAGTGCTCTGGGCTCATCTCTGCCCCCTATTCACCATCTTGTCTTGGGGCAGTTACCCACTTCAAAGCATCTGTACTCTGACTGTAAGAAAGAAGCAGTGACTCCAACGCAGCCGGTCCAAGTGAATGTGCTAAGCCCCAGGTGAGACCCAGGGCGTCAGAACATTCCCCAGATAGCCCTGTGTTCTCCATTCCTCTGGTCTATCTTTCCAGATCTGAAATGTAAAGCCAACCTGAATTACACGAGACACTGTATATCAAAGAAGAAATGGTGGAGTAGGGTCTTAGGGGGAGGTAGCTCAGCGGTTGAGACCTCTAGATACTGGATGCTCTTCCAGAGACCCTGGTTGGGTTCTCAGCACCTACATAATGGCTCACCACAATCTGTAACTCCAGTTCTAGGGGATCTACCCTCTTCTGGCCTCTTTAGGTACTGCATAAGAGAGTGCACTAGGTATGTTCAGGCCTAAAAGAAATGGTCTGAAAGGGAGTGAGTGGAAAGAGGGAGGGACAGAGGGACAGGTGGGAAGGAGAAAAGGAATAACAAGTTGCCTTGATTACTGAAGGTACCTAGCTTACGTAATAAAAAATAATAATAATGGTAGTAAGCACAAAAGAACCTACTTTTGGTAAGGTCTAGGTGAATTTGTCCCCTGGTGACTTTTTTGTTTTGTTTCGTTTTTGTTTTTTGTAGTTTTTTGAGACAGGGTTTCTCTGTAGCTTTGGAGCCTGTCCTGGAACTAGCTCTGTAGACCAGGCTGGTCTCGAACTCACAGAGATCCGCCTGCCTCTGCCTCCCGAGTGCTGGGATTAAAGGCGTGCGCCACCACCGTCCGGCCAATAATTCACTTTTTAAAAACAGTTATTTTCCAGTCAAGAGTGGTCCCAAGCACTTGGGAGGCAGATCTTTGTGAGTTCAAAGCCAGCCTAATCTATAGAATAAATTCCAGAACAGCCAGGACTATATAGAGAGACCCTGTTTCAAACAAGAAAAGCACCACTGGTCTCGCAGAAAACTTGAGTTGGGTTCCCAGTACTCACATCCATTAAGTTACTTACAACAAGCTCACAATAACTCTAGATCCAGGGGATCAGACTGGCCCCTGTGGCCTTCTCTCTCTCTCTCTCTCTCTCCCTCTTTCTTTCTCTGTTANTCTCTCTCTCTCTCTTTAAATAAAGATGTTATTTTTAGGAACTGGAGAGATGACTCAGCTGCTAAGAGATCTGAGTTCAGTTCCCAGCACCCACATCAGGTGGCACATAGCCCCCTGTGGCTGCAGTTCCGGGGGAATTGATGCCTTCTTCTGAACTCTGCGGGCAGTCACCTCTAACACATGGCATACCTTCAGATACACACACACATTGATAAATTAAAATTAAATCCACTGGGCAGTGGTGGCGCATGCTTTTAATCCCAGCACTCAGGAGGAAGAGGCAGGCTGATCTTGGTGAGTTCTAGGCCACGTTAATTTATAGAGTTCCAGGAAAGCCAAGGATACACAAAGAAACTTTGTCTAAAAAAAAAAATAAATAAATAAAATAAAATAAAAAAAATAAAAATAAACAACGAAAATGTAAAAATTAGACCTTACTAGATTTTATTTTTAATTGTTAATTAGCCACAGGCAGTTGTGAGATGGGTCAAACTTAGGCCATCTGTAATAGTAAAAGCTCTCAAATGCCAGAATTTAGCAGCTTTTCCATAGCCCCGAGTTTTTTTTTTTTTTTTTTTTTTCTATTTTTGGTTTTTCGAGACAGGGTTTCTCTGTGGTTTTGGAGCCTGTCCTGGAACTAGCTCTTGTAGACCAGACTGGCCTCGAACCCACAGAAATCCACCTGCCTCTACCTCCGGAGTTGTGGGAATCACGGAGTGCGGCACCACGCCCGGCCACATTCCCGCAATTTTAGTCAGGTGAAGAAAATTTATCTTTTTTTTTTTCCGATTATTTTCTTAAGGATGCTCTCTTCCACTCAACGCCATCAGTTCAAGCAAGTTATCAAGAGCCACAGGTCTAAACCCCCAACCTACAAAGGAGAAAAAAAAACAAAGACGGAGGAGTAGGTGGGGCGTACGGCGCGCGGCCTCCTGGGACTTGTAGTCCGCGGCCTGCGAGGCGCACGCTCTGACGTGCTGGGGCTCCCGCGGTTGCCATGGCTCCTCTGAGCCGAGGTGGGTGGCGCAGCTAGACGCGGGCGGGCTTTGGTGGCGTCGCGCGCGGAAGGCGGAAGACATCACGCGGTGGGTCAAGCGGTCTACTGTGGAACTGTGGAGACCAGGGCGCGCTGGGACCGGGCGGCCTCTTCCCCTGGGGCAGTGGCTGCGGACTCTTCTTCCCACACTCCTTACTCGCGGTGAGGAGAGGGGCGCGCTCGGCACCCTGGTTTCCCGGGTGGAACTAAGAAGCTTGACTTCCCGTGGCCAGCCCCAGGCCTCCCGTTCTGGAAGTGGCAGAGCCGGAGTTAAAGCCTGGACCTGCCTGGAAGTCTCAAAGACTGTTCTTTTGGATTTTGTTTAAGGCATTTTGGCCTGGAATTCGGAGGTCAATCTGTCTCTGCCTCCTGAGTGCTGGGATTAAGAATATGCGTTTTAGTTAGGTTTAACCTGTTTTGTCTTGAAACACTGTGGCATTCCATAGTCCAGGTTAACCTGGAGCTCACGGTGTAGTCCAGGCCGGTTTGGAACTTGGGGTGTTCCCACTGCTTCAGCGTTTCGAGTGACAGTATTACAAGTGTGTGCCACCATGCTTGGCTAGATTACGTATTAGCAGGTACCTGACTGTAGTGATAGTTCATTTGTATTTTAATAAAGCTTGCCTGAAGTTCAGACCAGGCAGTGGTGACGCACGCCTTAAATCCCAGTAGCCACACTAGTTTGCCATAGAAACCTGGCGATAGTGGTGCACATCTTTAATCCCATCCCTGGAGAGGAATATAAAACGGGAGGCGACAGCTCTCACACACAGTCTTATTCTGAGATTCCTGGAGGCAGGATCGCCATTTCGGACTGAGGTAGAGGTAAGAGCCATGGCTGGCTATTTTACTTTTCAGATTTTCAGGTTGGACCCCAATTTCTGTCTCTGGGTTTTTAGTAACAGTGCTACACCTGGCAGAAGGACATACGTAAACTGCAATTTACAGAGTGGTTCTCAAGCTCATCAGCACATTAGCATTATCTGGGGAACTTTTAAAAAACAGTATAAATCGGGCATAATGGGGTAGTCTTTTTTTAACCCAGCACTGTAGAGGCAGAGGCGGGAGCATCTCGTTGAGTTCCAGGCCAACCTGGTCTACAGAGTGAGTTCCAGGAAACCAGGACTATGTAGAGAGATCCAGCCTCAAAATAATTTCAAAATAGGATACCCTAAACTAGTTAGTGCTGGCGCACGCCTTTAATCCCAGCACTTGGGAGGCAAGAGGCAGAGGCAGGTGGATCTGAGTGAGTTTGAGGCCAGCCTAGTCTACAAAGTGAGTTCCAGGACAGCCAGAGCTACACGCAGAAACCCTCAAAAACAAACAAAAAAGGATACCTTGCAGGTGTGGTGGTACACACCTTGAATCCCAGCACTTGTGAGGGAGAGACAGGTGGATCTTTGTGAGTTCCAGGCCAGACTGGTTTAGATAGCAAATTCCAGGCTAGTCACGGCTATATAGTAAGACCTTGTCTAAACGGTTACCAAGGCACAGACCTTTAATCCCAGTGCTGGGTCGTATCTCTATAGATTGAGTTCCAGAAAAGCCAGAGCTGCACAGAGAAACCTTGTCTTGAAACAAACAAACAACAAAACAAAAACCCTTGGCCTCTCCTTCCCAAACAAATGAATCTAGATCTCTGGCATATGTGGGCTATGGAGGCCAGGCAAGAATTTTCACAGGTGATTCCAGTTCACAGTGAGACCTCTGGACTCCCAGTGTGGAGTTTAAGGCATGACCAAGGTGACTTCAATCTATGTGTTCCTGTCCACAGTGAGCAGCCAACCGATGTGGAACGATGGCACTGAGCCACTCCGTGAAGGAGCGAACCATCTCTGAGAACAGCCTGGTCATCCTGTTGCAGGGCCTCCAGGGCCACATCACCACTGTGGACCTCCGGGATGAGAGTTCTGCCCGAGGACGAATCGACAATGTTGATGCTTTCATGAACATCCGCCTGGCCAATGTCACCTACACCGACCGCTGGGGACATCAGGTTGAGTTGGATGACCTCTTCGTGACAGGTCGTAATGTCCGATACGTCCATATCCCAGATGATGTGAACATCACTGCCACCATCGAGCAGCAACTGCAGATCATCCACCGCGTGCGCAACTTTGGCGGCAAGGGTCAAGGTCGGCGAGAGTTTCCCTCCAAAAGGCAGTGAGGCTGTGTCCTCACTGAACTTCCAGCACCACCTCAGGGTCCTTAAGTGTTCTGAGCCAACCCCCTGCCGTCCTTCCCTACCAGTGACCTGGTGTCTACGAGACACCTATCACAACTGCCTTTCATAGGGTTCCACTTTGCAGACACACTCTGGGACCCAGAATTCCTTCTGTCTGTGGCCTTGGGGTAGGTGACAATCCCTCTTTTTGATCCTTTGCATCTGGAATCTCCATTTATGGATTGACCGCGTCTATCAAGGAGCAATCAACTCTGCCACGAGGATTATTGTGTTTGGAGTGAATCACCTCTACCTCCCCTCTTCTCTTGGCATTTGTTTCTTTTCTCATAAAACCAAACTTACATAAGTCTGTGCCTGATGCTGCCTGGTGTCTGCCGGGCTCTTGTGGCTCTTGTGTAGTAGCAGGGTGCAGGTTCCAAGCTGGGGAGCACACCAGGTTTACCTAGGATGTGGCCCAAGCAGTAGGAGCCTAGGTTTCCCCCAGGTATCATGATGGAATCTAACAGGAATGCCCGTGTACTTCAGGTACAAAGTGGCCCTTCAGGGAGAGTCTCTAGGGAGCAGGTTGTCATTGCTGTTTCCTGAAGCTGAGTATGGTATCCTGGGCCCTCTCTCCTCAGGCTGGAGAGTTCATCTTACAAGAAACTGGTCCCAGCCAGACATAGTGGATTACAGGGATGATCCTGGCTCTCAGGAGGCTAAGGCAGGATGACGAGCCTGAGCTGAGACAGAAATCCTGTCTCAAGAAACAAAAACAGACGTGTGGTGGTGCATGCTGGTAGGATTTTCTGAAGAGGCTGAGGCAAGAAGATCACAGAGTTTGAGGCCAGCCTGGGTTACACATCTTTTGTTTGTTTGTTTTTTTGAGACACGTGGTTTCTCTGTAGCTTTGGAACCTGTCCAGGAACTCCCTCTATAGACCAGGCTGGCCTTGAACTCATAGAGTTCACCAGCCTCTGCCTCCCAAGTGCTGGAATTAGAGGCGTGAGCCACCACTGCCCTTACACATTTCAGCCGGCAGGTAGTGGTGCACCCTTTTAATCTCAGTGCATTGAGGCCGAAGCAGGCAGATCTCCTTGAATTTGAGGTCAGCCTGATCTGTTGAGTGAGCTGCTCCAGGAGAGCCAGTGCTATACACACAGAAACGCTGTCTCAAAAACAAACAAACAAAAAACCTTAACAAACAAAAAATTCAAGGAGAAAGAAAATGGTCTGAGGAAGTAAAACAGAAAGGGAGCGAAAACTGCCAGTGCCAAGATCTGGAGGTAGGAAAGCTTGGGGGCGAATAGCGGTTCTGTGTGCCAGCGATGAGAAGGGCTGGTTGGCAGAACAGTGAGAGATGGGTAAATGACCTGAGGCTGTGGGCGAGGAAGGCCGATTACAGCTGATCACAGTTTCCCTTGAGAGGAGGCCTTGCTGGAGGAGGTTGAACCTAGGACCTGGCTCCAAAAAAAAAAAAAAAGGTAGAATTTGTTTCCTTTAACTCACTCTACCTTCTCTTTTGCCCACCTCAGAGACTTTACCAATTCCTTATTTTCTTTATTTGGACCGGAAGGACTTCCCAGTCTCATTTATGGTCATCTGATTAGCATCCCATCCACTGAGCTTCTGTGGTTGATTCAACCTTCAAAGGTTGCAGCTCCCTGACCAGAAGACCCCTTCATCATTCACTCTTGACTCGAATGTTTTTTATTATTTTTTGTTTTGTTTTTGTGTAAATATAAAGCAGAAATGATTTTTTTTTTTCAAGACAGGGTTTCTCTGTAGCTTTGGAGCTTGTCCTGGAACTAGCTCTTGTAGACCAGGCTGACCTCGAACTCACAGAGATCCGCCTGCCTCTGCCTCCCGAGTGCTGGGATTAAAGGCGTGGGCCATCTCATGCTGCTCAGCGGTTTTTCCCGTGTGTGTGTGTGAGTGTTGTGCCTCCATGTATGTACAGGACCCCCTGTGTGTCCTGGTGTCCTTAGAGGTCAGAAGGTGGTACTGGCCACCCTGGAGCTGGAATTATGGATAGCCATTATCCACCATGTAGGCGCTGGGAACTGAATCTGGGTCCTATGCGAGAACAACCAATGCAGAGGCAGGCGGGTCTCTGAGTTCGAGGCCAGCCTGGTCTACAAGAGCTAGTTCCAGGACAGGTTCCAAAGCTACAGAGAAACCCTGTCTTGAAAAACCGAAAGAAAAAAAAAAAAAAAACAACCAATGCTCTTAACTGCTGAGCTGTCCCTCCAGCAAAATTTTTTTCTTTGTTATGTTTTCTTTTTCTGAGGTGGTTTGTGTAGCCCTGACTCTTCTGGACCTAGCTCTGCAGACCAGGCTGGCCCCTTTCTTTTAAAGATAGTTTCTCTACATAGCCTTCACTGGCCTGGAATTCCTGCATACCAGACTGGCCACCAGATCAGTGCTTCTGCCTCTGAAGTGCTGGGATTAAAAATAATCACCACACCCACCACTGTTAGATATTTATTTGTTTTTTTGAGATACAGTATCAAGCATCCTTCCTGCTTCTACCTCCCAAGTTCTGGGATTGTTGGAGTGCACCACTGCAGCCAGCTTCTCAGTCAGGTTCTTTTTTGCTCTCCTCAGGTCCCTTAAGACCCAAGAAGTTCTTGGATCTTAGATCAGTTAGGTTAGCTGCAGCTCACAGCTCCAGAGCTACATCTCTCTTGAGTGTCTTGTTGCCTCACAGAGGAAAATGTCCTAGCTCCTAGCGCGCTCTCTCTCTCTCTCTCTCTCTCTCTCTCTCTCTCTCTCTCTCTCTCTCTCTCTCTCTCTCTCACACACACACACACACACACACACACACACACACACACACACACTCCCGTCTACCTTTCCCATGGTTTTCTAAATTTGTTTCTGCATAGAAATTCTTTCCATTCCTACTTGAAGGCTGGGCTTTTGGAATTCAGAAACTATAAAAATAGTGTCTGCATTCTGTTGTCTCTTCTATTCCCTGAGGTAACAAACGGAGAGTGACCTAGTCGTGAACAAGGGATCGAGGATCACCAAGGAAAGGATAGCAGTGTGTTTCAAGATGGCGTTTGCTCAAGCCTTCACATCCACCCTTCCTGCAGCCAAGGTGGGGGTCCCATTAAGGACAGAATCCCCAAGAAATCTGATGCTCAAACAGCATTATTCATAGCCATTTCCTCTCATTCGTGGAGAGAATTGGGGGGCTGCTGCTTGCAGGGAGGAGCCCACTAAGGCTCAGCTAGATGGGCATGTAACTTACAATTTAGCTCATGATGGGTGGTGGTTGCTCATGTCTTTAATCCCAGCACTTAGGAGGCAGAGACAGGCAGATCTCAGTGAGTTCCAGGCCAGCCTGGTCTACAAAGCGAGTTTCAGGAGAAAAACACAGAGAAACCCTGTCTCGAAACGCCCCTCCCACCAAATAAAAGTTGGCTTGTGCCTGAGACATACAGGGGACAGTGATATTTCCATGTCTCAGCATGGCTGAGGAGATGGGACTTAAGTCAGTCCAGTGAGCTCTAGTCAGGCAACCCTGACTGAAGGACTGACAAGGGTGGTAACGAGGGCCTTTGAAATTCTCATTAATGTTCCAGAAGGGGCTGGAGAGATGGCTCAGTGGTTAAGAGCATTTGCCTGTTCTTCCCAAGGTCCTGAGTTCAATTCCCAGCAACCACATGGTGGCTCACAACCATCTGTAATGAGGTCTGATGCCCTCTTCTGGCCTGCAGGCATACACACAGACAGGATATTGTATACATAATAAATAAATAAATATTTAAAAAAAATTCCAGAAGGAGGGCTGGAGAGATGGCTCAGTGGTTAAGAGCATTGCCTGCTCTTCCAAAGGTCCCGGCAACCACATGGTGGCTCACAACCATCTGTAATGAAGTCTGGTGCCCTCTTCTGGCCTGCAGATATATACACAGAATATTGTGTACATAATAAATATTTTAAAAAATGTTCCAGAAGGACCCAGAGACAGAACAGTGAAGAGTGACAAAGGTTTCAGGTCTGCAAGGGGGTAGGGTTATACTGACAGCAAGGTGGGCATGCTCACCCATCTGCTAGTTCTGACCACAGGCTTAATGACCAGGATGTAAGGCTGTTAGTAACTAGCTGGGCGTGGTGGCACGTGCCTTTGGTCCTAGTGCTCAGAGGCAGGGGCAGGTGGATTTTGAGTTCAAGGCCAGTCTGGTCTGCCTACACAGTGAGTTCTAGGCCTGGAATACATAGTAAGACTTCAAAGTTGGGGGGGAGGTGTGGGGGTGGTGTTATCAATGAAAAGGATAAAAACGACCTTTGGACCTCTCAAGACACTGGGATTCTGTGCCAGGTTTACAGCAGTACTAGGAATGGGACTTGGAGCTTCCTGCATGCCAAGGCCAATATTGTACCGCCTGGGCTACATCTCCAGCCACCCAGTACTCAGGACAGTCTATTGTTCACCTACCCTGTGACTGGACACTTAAAACTTGACATCTGCACAGAAGTTGCACAGGATCTGGAGGTGCAGGCCTGTAATCCAGGCTGATGGGCAAACTGAGGCAGGTTACAAGTTCAAGGCCAGCTAGTACTACAGACTGAGTGGGGAGCCAGCCTGAGCAACTTAATAAGACGTTGTCTCAGAAACAAAAGTACCGGAGAGAAAGATCAGGGGTGAAGTATATGCCTACCATAGAAGAGGCAATAAGGTCAATCCCAAGCACCAGAAATGCAAACCCCAAACCACCAAACCTGGCCATACTCGGGCCTTGGAACTTGGACACAGAGAAGAGCTGGGGTTCTGAAGCCTGAAGAAGCTCCTGGGGGTGAGGTCTTCTGGTCTCCCCTCCTCCTGTGATAGTCCAATCTGCCTATACCTCGTCAAGAAGCCATTCTGAGCTGTTATGGCAAGTGTCACTGTGTTATGGCAGCACCATCTGCCAGCGAGCCGGAGTCGAAGAGCCAGCAGGAGACTGTCACCATGCTTGTCTGTCCCAGAGATCCTTCCGTTGGTGTCCTGATGACAGGTTGGTGGTGGTGGTGGTTGTTTTTTAAATCTCCTCTGGCTGGCACATTTAGTTCTATTCCTTACCCTCTTTCCCCTCCTCTGCTTTGTTAAAAATCCTATATTTTCAACCAGCTGAGAGTCTACAGGGAGTGGGGACAGTGGTGTCAGCACCCAGTGATTCATCTTACAGATAATTAGAGAGCCGGGAAACCCAAAGCTCATGCCTGTCAGAGTCAGGGCTTCCGGAATCCTTAAGTCAGAGAGAGCAGCAAAGTGGGCCTGGCTTTCTGGACGCCTGCCTTTGGGTCACGCGCCTCGCCGAGGCTCCCTAACTGAGATCAGTGGGCATTTCCAGGGTGTGGTGAGCTGGCTCTGAGACT